GATAATAATTATCATCGTCTCAAAATTTTTGCAAGCGAAGCGGTTGTGAATCATGACGCTTCTCCCCCTCCTTTATTGGAGGCTACGGTTGAACAGTTCAACGTCTTACACTGTGCTGCGAGCTCTCGCTACGAGCCATCTATTATAGGCAGATGATTATCGATATTGCGCCAAACCGGCGCCTTTCACGAGCGGGTATTCTTCGCGCGATCACGAGCTTTTCGCTGTCTCTCCTAAAATGAGCGCGCTTTGTCCGACGAGATTACTCGCGCGACATTTATAAATGATTTCTATCGAAAAGAACAGCGCGACTAATTGCGTTATTAGCGACAGTCGCGAACACAAATCTGTAATCTTCCGCCGAAGAAATTACGTCGACGTTTTTAGGAGACCGGTTAGTATTACCGCTATGCATAATGTGCAACCTGTATATAAAATCGAAGGACTCAGTTTTGAAATGAAAGATTCGTGTTTATATAATCTGAACCTCAATTTACGCTTTCTATATAATTCCTTAATACAATATCGATGAGGAATATCTATTACGTAAGTGTTCAGACAGAGAAGTCGGAGAACAAAGTTTTGCTACTGGTTTTTCAATGTTATTATATAAAAGTTGAGATTCTCTTTCAAGAAAGATATTCTCGTAATTAAGAGGGTCTTTATGCATCTTAACAATATATAAATACTAAAAGAAGCGCAAGAAACATTTAAAAGAGGCATAATCAGTAAAAGGAATACCAAGTCGCATCGAGAATGCGCGCATTATCTGCGATTGTCTGTATACGTCCTTTTTTTGTACCTGTTCTCTTCTTCAAGCTGCATCGTAGCAGGTGAGATCGAACAGAGAAACACGACGGTCCGGCGCCAATACCTTTTTACCAACAATAAGATGCGTTATAAAGGTCTACGGACCCTTAGGTAGAACTCATGAGGAAGAAACGGTCAAATTCATTGTACGCAGGCTGCTCCAAAAGCCACATTCTTGACTTTGTAAAATGCATCCAAAGCCTCGAATGTCTATTTTGTATTTTTTTTTATATCAAAAAGTGCGTTATATATTTTCTGCGACTAGTTTGCATTAAAATTCTCATGCTGTGTCTTAATGGAAGATATAATCGCATTATTTTGTATCGAGAAAATAGCTTAATAGCTAAATAGCTCCGCCGAATCGATCGAAGGTGTCAGATCGATCGGTGCAAAACGGTCGCGAAATTTATGTCGCATCGCCCGCAGACACTTCGGAACTCATTACAGAATGTATCACGTATCGAATGTATCATTGGGAGATAGATCGCGATATACAAACTGGATTGGTCGGCGTTCGCGTGCACGGTAGTGTTTTGCGCTCATGCTTGACGTTTGCCTGAGACCGGTCGAGGTGACAAATCGCGCGAAATCGATAGATGGAAGTCTAGAGCCCGCGTATTGCGCAAACTATTTATCGCTGGCGCGAATTGTTGCCGCTCGAGAAGTCCGCGAATGGCGGCACGCATTGCTGCCGATAGTCATCACTTCACAATTGCGACGAAATGATAAATAGAAACGGAGGGCATCGGAGAAGATCTTACGTAAGTTATTTATGCACCTGCGTCATCGATTCATCGATGAGTTCGTGCCGTTAAGGAGCATCATGAGTTTTTTTTTGGCTTAAAAGAATTCTAGCAATCATATATTTAAATATGCTCATTTGCTACTTATAGCAATTTCTAGCTACTTGTATTTTTCCTTTATTAAAGTTCATTTAATTTGAAAATTTATTAATTTATTATTACATGTCTTAAAGAAAATATTATATATGTGCATAAGATTCAAAAATTATTAATGTTTTGAATACTTAAATAATAATTTTATTTTTCTTATATTAAATATATCATGTCCCTGTAATTGCCAATAAATCTGAAACACTTCATAGATGGAAAAAAATCTGTAATTAATCTTAAATCCACAATGTAAGCTAATTAATTATTTGAGTGACGCTGAAATTCAAATATCACCCACGTTTTGAATCCAAGACTGTGCTCAGTGCGTAATCAATCTGATTCAATCTGATTTTCAGCATTAATTTTGTGGTGGCGCCAAAGTTATCGTCAATCTCGATGCTTTTTCTGAAAAGGGAAAATCGTATTCCGATGATTTGGTGCGTAGGTTCTCGGTTTTATTTTAATGAGATTGATGGTATTCCAATGACATTCACAACACCCTCTTTATACTTCCAAAATAGGCAGGCGGCTCACACAGTTAATGCCTCTCTGTTTTAAAGTAGGCGCGTCTCTAAAAGAGTTGGAATACATTTTTCGAACGAGTCGCGCAGAGATTCTGTCTGGGTTCTGTGCGACTGCGTACCAGCGGATTTATACGTATGCATAATCATGAAACAACATTTCCAAAGTGACCTATGTTCCTTCTATGATGCAGCGGATTAGAAGACGTCATTGTTATAACCAATGTTGCATACAATTGGCTGCGACAGTCATATTCTTGCAATCCAAGTAAGAAAAACATTTAAAAATGCACATACCATGTCCTCTGCTTACATTATATACTGTATTGTGAGCAATCAATCATATCAATATTATCAATTAATTGGTAAATTCACGAACGTTGACTTTGAATGTAAAGTGTATTTTAAGAGTAAAGTTAAGTTTTCATTTTGGATTGCGATTTAGCTAAATTGTGTGATTAAAAAAAACTAATATTACATATATGATAAAATCAAATAGTATATTTAAAGCAATGAAAAGAAAATTTCTGTACATTTTCTTGTAGCTTTCTTTTTTACGCGCGATACTTCCAAAATACTCTCACATATCAAACTCAATGGCAATTCGAATTTCTGTTGAAGTGACCGTGAAAAATGCGTTACTTAAATCACGACGAGTCGGCTTTTGATGTCGATCAGCTGGAAAGCGTTGGGAAAAAAAAAGAAAAGCCTCTCGCGAGAAAGAGGCAGGCAAACGAAGAGACTTGAAAGACACCTAATGGTCCACACCAGCAGATGTCACATGCTCGCCCAGTCAATGTTTTTCAAACGGGCGTTTGCCGCCAACGCAAGCTTCTTACCCCGGCGTTCAACTCTCCAGCTGATACTAACGATCCTGCGAATGTTAGGCCGCGGAGGTCCCACAGGGGCCCCGAGGAAGAAATTCCAGACTCGTACGTTCCTCGTGCTCAGGCCCCGCGTGAACTTTCATTTTCAAAAGTGACGAAGAGAAAGAGAGAGAAAGACAGACAGATCTTCCAGTCGCGTATCTACGAGAGGTTGTATGTACATTCGGAAGTCTTAAAGTCGCTCTCAAAAGAAATTCTTCAGTGATCATTTATTTAGAATCAGCCTCGATTAAAGAAGCCATTGAAAAGATTGTAAAAAAAACTATCCTCACAGAGAAATCAATATATCAATTTTATTTAATAAAATATTTTATACACGAAATGTCTAATTTTAATAAATAAGTCTGTAATTCTAATGAGTGCGTATAATATATAACAGTTTAATAAATTAATCTTTATTTTGAATTTGTTATGTAGAATTTTTTTTAATATCTTTGTATTAAAAGTATTGATTTATAAAGTCTTTCGATTTTTAATATTGAATACATATCGATACTCTTTCATAAGTTTCGATGATAAAATGATATATACTTGATTACAATGTCACCGAGAGGGAAATGTGAGCAAGATTAATAAATTGCTAATTTAGATATATAGCAACATGATACAAGAGACATATTTAATTGTGATGTGTCAATAAATTAATAACACTTTAATTATTTAATGTATTAATCTGTTTACGTTTGAAATATATTTAAATAGCATATATTTGAAATAATATAAATTAATATAAATTTTCTATATTTGATAATTGAAGAAAGAGAAAAAAAAAGAAAGAAAGAATCTAGACTAAATGATTCAAAATTATTCTTGTAACTCTTTAAACATATAAAAAAGAAATATATTACAATCATCTATTCTCTCTTGTATTGTACATATTATATATATATATATATATATACACATGAACTTTACTTCGTTATATATGTCTCATGTCTATAAATAAACTGTTTAGTATGCAAAACATTGACTTGTCTCTCTTTCTCTATTTATGCGTGCAGGTTAAATACTAATTAACATAACTAAAAATGGCAATGTGTGTATAAAAATATTGTTATAATTGTGTGTGTGTGTGTGTGTGCGCGCGCGTGTGTGTGTGTGTACGTATACATGAAAATATATGCTAAAATATTTGCTGTCATTTTATGTGGTCCATGCAATGTTACGTAGCATTTCTTAGTAACGTATTAGGGAAAACAGAGATACTCAGGTACTAAAATAATAGGCGTGTTTCAAAGATTACGTTCGTCCTATCTTCACGAATTTATTGCCAAATAACTAAAAAGAATACGGAACTGTCATTCGTGAAAGCCGTATTTGTGTAAGATGTTGTTTACTTCTCGTGTAAAAAAGAATAAAGAAAAGTTGAAACACATTTGAAACGCAGAAACGATCTCCGCTTATCTCTGCTCGGAGTTTATTCAGAAACTTTCGCCGAGTAAGTGAAAGAATTCGTCGAGAAAAGTCGGATCAACTTTATACACTTTCGGAGACGGTACCTAACAGATATAATTTTGCTGTCAAAAGACCAATGATTGTTAATATATTATTCATCAGGATGCTTTATTAGATTTACAGACAACACAAAATTAAAAAAAAATACAATTCTTGGATATAACTGTCTATTTCTATTTGTTTAATAAAAAAATCGCACTTGACGAATGAAATCAATATTGAGTTAGCATTGAATGTATGACAAGATAATATCAAAAGTTATCAGTTGCGGTCCCAAGCATATCGGATATATATCTGATAGCATCACGTAATGTTATGATCGTTGCTGCGAAATCATATCATGCAGGTAAACTTCTCATGCTTGCGCTGTAATTTGGCGCGCAAAGATGGCAGCTGATATGGACAAGGCAAATTCACCTAACGATCTCACTCACCTCAGTTTAACATGCACGCAGCTTATGAGGTATATCCAAGACGAGACGAACGGCGAAGATTGCACTGTCTTGGTGAAGATTCCGAAAGGAAATTCCAACGTTCACTTTCGGGACGAGCCTTCTGAGTTAACGGAACATTCACGCACACCATCGAATTTACCGCCGATTTAACGTCACCGAGAGAAAAACACTGTTCACCTCCCTCGAAGAGTGGAGCAATTTCGCGAAACCGCCCCAAAGTTACGAACCGTTACTTCAACTTTTATTGACAGCGATTTCAATTGACTTTGTAAGGCGAGACAACTGACATGTTTGCTGATCGTGGGCGCCTTGATGTGATATGGATTCTTCTGATGAAATAGCACGAGGGATCAAATTCTCACGCGCTTTGATAAGAAAAGATTCACGTTATCACTGTCAAATGTGTCGATTCCGCACTTTGCGTCCCGACATTGCTACCACGAAAGTGTTAACTAAATTCAAAAGTCTCTTTCATAAACCTGAAGATAAGCATCCATGCATCTTTTTTCAAATTCTGTCCAACATATAAGAGTAGCGTATATCCACTGATGATCCTGTCTCCGACGTTTGCACCAATCTAGGACAGTGTCCAAGCGGATCTGTAGCAGAGCACTTCGTGGAAAGTCAGGGGATTCCGCGGGATGAAAAAATACGAATCACTCACTCGATTTCCTTGGTTCGCGAAAAGAGGAGCCCTCTCGGCACGAGAGAAAGAGGGAGAAAGGGGGAGAAAAACGACCGAGGAAGAGCGCGCGCGATTGCGAGCATACGAGAGAGGAAGAGTCGGCTTTCGCGAGAATTCCTGCCGATCCTTCGAGGCCTCCTCTTTGGTCCGCGCGTCTCACCTTGCGGAGAGCGAGTCTCCAGGTCGACCATGCAGCGACGCACAGGTCCACGCTGGGCAGGACTCTCCCTTCGCCTCTCTCACGTCTTCTCTTTCTCTCTCCTCTCTTTCTCTCCTTCCACCTTCTACCATCGCCACCACCATTACCACCACCGTCGTCATCATCATCGGCGCAGTGCTCGGCAGGGCCGAGCACCTTCTCCTTCGCCATCGAGCTTCCTTAGACCCCTCGCCCCACCGCGCCGTCCCCCCCACTTTCCCCCTAGAAGAAGACAGCACCTAACTTCCTCGCCTCGCGCACCTTCGCCTCCGTCCTGCTTCCCACTATCCTTCTCCTTCTCGGAGAGTTTCTCCTCCGTCGTCTCCTCGTCTTAACTCGCAATGCTCGGTTCCCCTACTTTTCTCTTCTAGCCAGGTACGAGACACACAGGTATACACACGCACGCACGCACACTGGTCATCGAAGCTCCCGGCTCGCTGTAGTAGGTGTGGGATACATTCGTGCATTCGTGCGTGTGGTGCCGCATGCATAAGACCCTCGGAGTTACACACACCTGAGGGGTTGCGTGTGATGCATCTGGACCGGAGAAAAAAAGACGGGCGTTTTGCTTGCGGAGAAGATACGGAGTCTCTTCTTAGAGATACGGGGATGGTCGGAAAGGTCGAGGGACAGATGCTCCGGCGAAGGAAGTGTTTAATTTGCTAATGAAATGATTCCGCATATGCCCCGAATAATATTAAATTAATCGGGTGAGAGATTTTCTAAATTGAAGAGAATGTGGAAATTTTCTTTTTCTTTAATTATTTTCTGTTTAAAGACGTCATACAATATTTTTTTAATTTAAAGAATTAATAATTGTCCAGCAAAAGTTTATATTTGTAATAATTAATTTGTAAAATTTCTCTTAAGCAAGTGATAAAAAGGTACATCAATTTTAATATACTATCAGTATGATTAATAAATAGCAAAACCTAATTTATATAATTCTTATTATCTTTTAGAAATTAAAAAAATCGATACATTAGGAGAATAAGCTTTTATCTTGGCTATTACTATTAATTTCTATTTTTAATAGATGTAGATAAAAATAAACAATACATCTATTCTATTTTTGAAAAATTAAGGATACCATGTGTAATTAATTGCTATTGCTTTTACATAACACTAAAACATTTGTAAGATAATAATTAAAAAAATTAAATGATCTAGTGTATCAAATTAAATAACAAAAAGTGAATTGATAAGAATCTGTAATCGAGTTACGTAAAAGTCATGTGAGATAGGCGTGAAAATACAACATGGCACGATTTCCAAGAAGAATCTATTCCCGTGGAATTGCTTCGAGGAAGGAACTCTCGTTGTTGCATTTCAAAAATTGCAGCAACACGAAGAATACGATAACTATTTGCCTTTTGCACGATGTGCACGCTTGTTTTATCGTAAATGTTTCTCTTGCCAAGATATATATATGTATAGTATATATATTCGAAAGAACAAGTAATTATCGACTTCTTCTTTTATTGTTAAATTAGCGTAAAAAATATCGACAATTATGTTCTATAAATTATGCAACAAAAATTGTATACTTGAAAAATAAAAGTTAAAAATATGTTTTATTGTTAGTATTTTATTATTAGATAAAATCCTTTCAAGATTAATATCTTTATATTAATAAAATGGATATTTATAAAGAAAAATTAGAGTTGCATTACATCTACGTTTCAATTACATTTAAATAATATATTCTACAATGAAACGAATCTTTATATTTTATTATTACACATTATTTAAAAATGTAAATAATATCAGAATAAACATAAGATAAATATATTTAATTAAATAAATTTTTATAAAATATTGTTAGATTTTTTTCTATGATATCTTTTAGAAAAATACAGAAGATTAACATTTCTTGTGAATGATAAATGATGCATGCGGGTTAACACAATGTAAATTTAATCGAATGAATCCGACCTGTATCCAATTCGGCTGTAACACATTCTAGATTTCAATTTGCTTGATCGTGAGGAATGCTGGTTTTTAGCAGGTGCGAGACCGTGCTCTGTCGATAGCTTTGTAATGCGAAGCGATCCTCGAGTGGAATCATCTCAAGAGTTATCCTTAGCACCCTGTGCCGATGGAATTCATTGTTCTCTTCAAGTGGCCTGACCTACCCTTAGGATTGTTTAGTAGCGGGCGACCATATTTTCGCAATAAAATATTTTGTAGATGCATGGACTTCTCAGCTACGTTAATGCCTAACAATTCAGGAACAATAGATCAAAATTTTGATGCCTGAAAAGCCGAATTTTTTTCTTTAGAAATGGAAGTTAAAGCATCGTTAGGATCATAGCCGCTCCCTGTTGAGAATGGATGAAATACTAGTAGGAACTATTTTCAAACTCCGTAGGTGGTTCAGCTATAAAAGTATCCCTTTTTTATATTCATTTCTGACTTTCACATCATTATTTCACATCTTTATTATAAAAAAATAATAAAATAATAAAAAAATAATAACATAAATAAAAATTAATTTTCCAAATCACTCATAAAATATAAAATGATATAAAAACTTTAAGTTTGTTAAAGTTGTATAACTTTTAACTTTGTTCCTCTTTTTCCGCGAAAGCTTTATTTTTAAATCTAATTTATTAAATTGTATTTATTTCATACAGACGCATTTTAAAAAACAAAACTTTTGAATAATGTTAAAAAATTAAATTAAACTTTAAGTACCGCATAGTGTTTGATAATTGATTTCAATGTGTAAAAACATTAGTATAAAATACTACGGAAGAGCAATCAATGTTTTCGCAGATAAATTACATGGCGAAGCGAATCAACAGGTGGTTATATGAGCGCAGAATCAACAGGTGGTTACACATGAATTAGATTTAGTCGCTTATTTTTCTCTTTCTTTACAATGCTCTCTATCATTTTAATCTAGTTCAATCCTTTTTTTGTCAATCATATCTTTTGTTTATATCTTCTCAGCTTCCCTACATGCTTCTTTTATGGCGCAACTTTTCCGAATAATTACTATGCCGGTCTTTTAATGGTATCGTAGGATTTCTGTTGAAGTTTTACCTGACTAGTTAAATATATCTGTGTTTCTCCATGTCATAAAGATATAAAAAGCATGTAATGTAGGAAAGTATAAAAAACGATAAAATATTAAAAACTTATTTCTTCCATTCAACATTCAACATTCAACATTCAACATTCAAGCATAAAACAGAATACAAAATAACTTTATAAAACAAAAATATAATAAAAAAATACAAGCTTTTCTTTTATAATAATTTTATTATCTAATTAATTTTACCTTAATTTTATTAACTATTTTTATAATATACAGGATGTCCCAAAACACATAATCAATCTTTCAAAGACAGATTCCTGGGATCATCTAAAGACGATTTTTCCTCAACGAAAATGTCGAGGCACTAATAATTTTCGAATTATAAGTGATTGGAAATAAGGGGTTTTTCGTAAACTAAGCTTTGTAGAAATAAAATATTAACAAAACCACATTCTTCGATTAATTTTAAATAGAATTTACTTTAGTTGAGTTTTAATTTAACGCTTAATTGCAAAGATATATGATGACAAAAATTGGGAACATGCAAAAAATGATGGCCTTCATCGACATTTTCGCTGAGGAAAAATCATCTCCAAATGATCCCAGGAATCTGTCTTTGAAAGATTGATTATGAGTTTTGGGACACTCTGTATAATTTTGTATAATATTTAACTTACGGAAAATGAAAATGAAACTTTATAAGATGTTACGTAAAATTTGCCCCGTTACTAATTTTCAAAGAATGGTGGCGCCAGTCCCGTTGAGAGGCTGACGAGACATCCCTATTGTTCCTCTCAAATGCTTTTGCTATGCGTTATTGTTTAGCACCGACGGACCATATTTTCGCTGAAACTGATCCTTGGTTGAGCTGATAAATGATTGGAAAGGTCCAGAATTTTTGTATCGACAAAGCAAATCTTTTCTTTTAGAAATACGCCGAAGGTTAGAATATTATTAGAATTGTTTGCGCTCCCTGTTATAAAAAATCAATGAAATATTAAAAGAATCCACTTCTAATAAAAAGAAGGAATTTTATCAAAGAATTTCTCTGCGCAAAAAAAAGGAATTTTATCAAAGAAAATTAGGTAGACGTGTATCAAACAAAGAAGATCCTAGGTTCATATCTTTAATGTGTAATTTATACACATCAGGATAACCTTTTTTATCTTGTAATACCTGTAAATAGTTTAGAAAATCTTACATCTTTGCGACGAGGTAGGAGAGACAAATTGTAAAGTGTATCGATTGGACGCTTTGTTTCAAGGACGGCAGATAAAGCTTACATCTTTCGTGGACCCGGCCTATGGTATCTCTCATTCTGATCCATTGTTGAGCCACGAGAGCGTGGCACGAGAACACGAAGAGTGGCAAAAGTGCCCTCGAGGCATCTCGCACCGCGGCTCTCTCATCTGCCTGATGCAGGTAACTTTCCCTATGGGACTTAGGCGCTGGGTATACCATGGGGTACGCATAGAGCGACTGAAATACTGCCCAGAAGAGAATACCGGTTCAGAGAGCAGTGGCGCCGCTACCTGAGGGCACCGCGTTCGAAAAAAAACTCCCCACGCTGTCGAGTTTAGAACCTGGATTCATCTCGCTTTGCTTTTAGGCAAAACAAAAAGTAAGGAATTTATGGAGCAACGTTTCATTACACTTAAGTGTTGGCGCGATAATGGCAGTGCAGTTGCTGCAACAGCATGAAATGCTTTCTAAGTTTGCTTTGGTGTAAAGTGTACTTTTCTGTTCAATAATCAAGGGAATTTGAATCCGGAACTCTTTAATCTGAAATATGTAAATGGCGTTTTTTATACAACATTTTTAAAAATATAATTTATGTACATAATCTATGTTTAATCAACAAATTGTACATTAATTGATACAAATCAAATTTATGCTAAATTTATTCATGTAAAAACACATGTTCGCTTCTGATAATTTTATTAAAATGATTTTATTAAATTAAATTTTATTAAATTTTTATTAAAATGTAATTAAA